TTTTTTTCTTTCTGATTAGCTGTGGACTTTTATTTATTTTTAACAATGTGGTTGTATGGTGAGCGTAGTCTGTTTGGGCAATGGCTCCATTGTTCTTTCAATACCTAGTGCATGAGCTGTATCTGCTGTAAGGCCTGTAATTGACTGTATAAATAAATTATGAATGCTTGAAGGCTATAGTTGTCTGTGTTGATGAGCAATGATGCTTTAATTATTATAGAATCTTAGATGTATTCTGAAATAATACAGGGATAAGTTCCAAGTTGCCTGCACTTAATTTATAATTTCGATTAATTTTTCAGAAAAGCCATTCATATCACTTGTAAGAATGCTCGTGTGGCAATATTTGAAAGCAAAGCTTGCTGCTATCTTCCTTCTTGTCAAGTGGTGTACTGGATGATATGTAATTTATACTATTAGAAGCTAAACATAAATCCAGTTTGTTGTTTACCATGTTATTGCCATAAGACCATATTAATATTGTTTATAAATAGAAGATATGATGAGCTACTTGCTGTTCTCCTTCTTGTTGTTGTTGTGCTGCTGTTATTATCCTTGTCAAGTTGAGCTTTTATTAATTTGTTTAAATCGGAAACTGACTCTATTTGACCTTTCCATTTTCTGAACTTGATGAGTAAAACTTAGGGTCCTGTCTACCATCTTTAAAAAGCTGTAATTGCACTGTAGCAGCTATCCCTTGTTGCATGGTCGGGGCCTTAACTTCCTTAAATGTTAGGTTGCAAATAGAATGCATACCAGTATGTTCATATGACCACTTATCTCCCTAGGCATTCGTAATTTGCTATGCTTTGCTTTCTTTTATTCATTTTCTGTTGTTTTGACTGACTAGTAGCTTGTAAAAGTTATCCTGTAATTATACCTCTCTTAATACGGCTTCATGTGCTTTTGCTGACAGGACATGGACAGTGAAGTCTAACCCTGAGTATGATGGTCTAATATTGGTACTCTCTCTTTCCTTTATATATAAATTGTACATTTATCAGCACACCCCATTCTGCAATTCACGTTATGCAAACCATAGAAGTAATAGGTTGGTTACTTTCCATTGGCAGAAATTAGAGCTTAAAACATATGGCAATTTATCAATCATCTATGCTCACTGTCACAGTCACTTATCTGAAGAATGAGTTCAGAATTGTTATTTGTGGTTGAATCATTCCTCCAAAGTCTTTTTCTTAAAATATTTACATTTATTAAGCGAGCCATTTTTTTGTGGTATACAACGAAAAAAGTTGCATCTATAAGAATATTGATAAAGCTGCCACTCATGCAGAGTGCTGGAACAGATTCATCTGTCAGCCTATGGCAAGCTCCTACACAAAGCAGTGAGGATATATCACCTGAAAGGTATTCTTATTATACGAACTGTAAATTTTAGTCCAATCTATAACTTTGCTTTTGTAATAGTGTAATTCACCTAAATTTGATGTTGTTGCAGTTTGTTGGAGTCCCTAACTAAGCGTGTAGACCCTTTACTGAACTCTTACAATGATTACGAAGACAGTGTTTATGGTATATCTTGAGACAGCTCTGTCCTTTTCTTCATTTTTCTTCATTGTTTTTTACTATCTAGTTACCCGGAATCATTTTCAGGCCTTGCTTGGAGTTCTAGGGAGCCCTTGATTTTTGCATCTTTGTCCTACGATGGAAGGGTAAATTCATTGTTCTCAATTAACTAGGGAAGAGGCCTTGAAATAAAAATCAGCTCTCCAAGAGAAGTGTTGCCTGTTTTCTTTTGGTAGTTATAATAAAAGTATAAAACCTGTGGGATGATTTGATCTTGAATTTCTCTTTGTTATTAAACAGGTGGTAGTGGAATCCGTAAAACCTCATCTTTCCAAAAAGTGAAGACCCATGTATAATCCCAACTTGTAAGTTTATGATTTTTTTTTTTTTTTTTTTTTTTGGGGGGGGGGGGGGGGGGGGGGGGAGGGGGTGGGGTGGTGGCTTGTCCGGGCAACTGTTTTTGCTCATTTACTGGAGTAGAAGCTTTAATAAGTAGCAGGTCTTGGTCTCGATGTGCAAAATAGCCCTTTGGTTTATAATAGTTTTCTTTTTTGCTTGGCTGGGTAACTATTACTTATGTTTTCAGGTTGTGCTTGATGTTTGTCTCCAGATTACGAATTGGATGTTTTGAGGTATCAGAATTAGTTTCAAGCGTTTACTCTATGGATTTAGTATAAGGGCCCTGTATATTGACATTCATTCATCAATCCATTCCATTTTCTTCATTGAGGAGTGGATAGCGGTATCTTGATTTTTGCAAGAGATTTTCTTGCACGTTATATGTCAAAATTACTGGTTCCTGCGTGAGGTTTCCTTTTCTACAAAGCCTGTAATTCCTCTCCTCTTGGTAAAGACTTTTGTGGGTATATTTTTGGGAATGTTATACTCTTAGGTCAAATACCGCGGATATATCTGAGCAAGCAGGTGAAGTTTCTTTGATACGTTATTCACAACAATCTGATTTTCGTCGAGAAATAATCATAGGTTCCATGCGTGTTCAAAGACGTAAAATAGTTATTTGGGAATTGTTTCAACCAAATATACATTCTCCGCTTTTTTTAGACAGAATAGATAAATCCTCTTTTTTTTCGGCTACTTTTTCCGGATTAATTAAAGGGATTTTAAAAAATTGTCTGGGACAAAACTCAGAATTGCGGATTCCCCCAATGATCGTAGTACCAAGTACTTCCTGGCGAGCCTTTTGGAAGGCCTTGCGTGATGTCACCAGGTTTCGATCCAGACTTTGAATCTGCAGCTAACAAGCTACTATGCTTAATGGGAAGAATGGACCTGCCAATTTGGGAAGAGAATGTAATTGTATTCGAGTTCATTTGTATTTGGTAATATGTTGCTGTGATTAGGTTCTGTAGTTGGTCTAATTCATCAGTAATTTGATGATTATTCCTTGGCTGTCTGTTATTTTTTAAGGCGTTGAATCTGTTGTGTTGTGACGGCCTTTAAAAGCTAGCACAAACCATGAACCAAAAAAATGTATGTGGTTTCATAACTGTCTCTTTACCTTTACATCATTCTTTCTTTTTTTGGAACCTACCTTTACATCATTCTTGAAATACCTTTTATATACACCAAGGTGCACATAAAGTAGGTGCACCTAAGGCTAGCTTTTTCCTCTTAAAATGAGCAAAAAAATATCAAATAAGTAGAAAATCCCCTTGGGTGCACCTTGCACCCAAATGTTATATAAATAAGTAGAAAATGAAATATTTTTTTTAACCAAATTCACTCCACTTGAGAACCACATACGGTATGTAGTATGTCATCCCTACCTTATTATTTTTCTACTACTATCAATCTCTAACCGCACCTGATTACCCCAATTTGTGACTTGAAAACGATGACCTGAAATTGACTTGGTATCTACCTAACTCGACTCGAAGTAGAATTGACCGGACCTTGTCTTGATACCTAAAGTGACCGGACTTAATTGTACGCGACCCAAAATTGACTTGATACCCAAAATTGAATTGACCAAAATTGACTCGATACCCGAAGTGATTTGACTTGATTTTAATTTGAATTAATTGACCCGAACAAACTAGATCCATCAACCAATTAAAGTCTTAATCTCATAAGTGGGGTCGGCTACATGAACCAAAAGTGATTATTCCGTATAGTTATCCACAAAATTCTTTTTCCTCCATCTCTTACGATCAAATACCTCATTCTCATGCAAATACATTTGCTTCAGATTCTTCCTAACTTCTTTCAGTTAAGTTTTTTTTTTTTTCCTCTTTGGACAGTGGTTACAATGAACAAACAAACTAAGCTAGAAAGGTTGTCTGGCCTTCTCTAGCGACCAGACTCGTTACTACTAGGGGTGTTCAAAAATTGGTCCGGACTGAAAAAATTACAAACAACACTAACAACCTTTTTTTGAGGGTAGTCGGAGAGGATCGGTGATTGGAAGGCGTCATCCTTTCGCTTCATACCAACACGACATATACCTGTGCATACCTTGGCTACCTTGGACCTCTTCTTTCACATCGATTCTCGATTTGTGACGGTGTTTTGGTCAAAATCTGATTGCCAGATAAGACCACGTTCAAAATAACATCTAGATCAATTTGAATGAGAATGGCAATGCAGGTTCAAGGAAATAGATAAAGGGGTATGCAAAGAACGAGCAAAGGGAAAGGGGAGAAGAGAGACGAGATGATGACGCAAAAAACCCCAGGAATAAGGGTAAAAACTGCGGTGGCAATGAGTCCTCCACCAATCCACTAGGTTGACAGGTTAAAACGGATACAATTTAAATTTACAATATGATAATAACGATGCTTAGGATTGCTAAAAAATACTTGATTTCTATGAGTAATAAGGCAGTGATATTTGGGATGCCTTGATACAATGATTGTTCTCCTATTTATATCATAAGAAACAACTTGAGGAACTTCAACGGCTTCATTCCGAATTCCATGGAATCCGAGGCTAGGGGGTTGAGGTAGTTCCTACTTCCTCGCCCTTATCCTTGAAGACTTATCCATTGCAGTTTTCATTGGTCTTCATTAACGGCGTGCTGGTGCTTCGTGGTTCCGTTATTCATGGCAGCTCCCTTGACTTGTTCAAATAAGGATACCCTTAGAATATTCCTTAGAAAGGTTTTTGTTTGACTTTGCCTAATACCTGGGACCAGGTAACTGATCACGTAGCAACCTGTAACCTACAACCTAGCAACCTGCAAACAAGTGAACCTGAGATGAAAATTTAGGCATAACAGTTTGCCCCCAACT